GACTGTCCTCAGAGCCATGAGTCATAGCAGGTGTTTACCTGTTTTGGTGTGAAACCAGACAGAGTGCGACTGGCTTGTGGTCGTCTTGCTTTGAAATATAAATCAAGCTGGGTTATTCATAGAACTATTTTCCCAGCATGAAAAATGGGCTGTAAGAAAAGAAAGAGCAACATGACATCTTCCACTCTCCAATTCAAATTTTAGATGGAAAACCAAAGCCAAAACCTTTTAAACTGTTTACAAAAAGGTCTTCAGCCTGTTTTCTATTAGGCTGCCATCAATCTTTCACAAAAAAATAAATAAAAATAAAAAACTAAATATGAGCAAAAAATTGTTTTAACACTTGTATGTATTAAAATGAAAAAAGTGTTTCTTCTTTTGTAGTCTTTTTGTGGGTGGATAGTTTGGGTAAATCTAAAAATAAACTGAGTCACAGAAAGATCCACTTCAACACACCCACTATGAGATACACAAATATCTTCAGGGCTGCCCACAAGTTGGAATCCTCCAGCTGCTGCAAACCCTCTGAAAATAAGTATATTTACAAAAAGGCCTTTACTGAATAGAACAATTCTTCCAATATGTAATAAAGTAGACTAACATTTAAAAAAATGGTGAAAATAACTCAGTGTAACTTGTATGTGGATAATATGGCTCTACTTAGTATGTTTACCGTACTTTAAATAAATGTACAAACAGAATGGTCTTAGCCACACTGAAGCACAACGCTAAAGAGCTGGTAAAGAGAAGCAACCAGCATTAAGACTGTCTAAAATGTCAAAAAAGCTGAGCTTTTTACAATCAAAAGTGATCAAAACACWTAAGTGATTTTCAGTGCAGTTTAATTGTGCAGCACAGTGTTGTTGACATGATAAATGAGCATTCTCACTCTATCCCTTGTTTAGCACCACAGGTTAACTCACTGTTCTCCCAAAAGGACAGAAGCTAATCTTCCAGTGGAGTTCTTGTTGTTCTGGCTCTGTGTACAACTAAGGTGGAGAAGAGAGGTGAGGAAACATGTAAACCCCCCTCCCATTTTTCCATGAGCAGACCAACACCCACTGCACACGCACTAGGCCACAGTAAAACCCACTTATCACATTGCCTTGCAGCCTCTGAGTGAGCRTAGATAAACAGTGTTGTGATCAAAGCCTTGTGACAGTATTTAGAGGAACAGTGAGAGGACTGATCCGTGTCTGTGAATGACGAGAGCTGAGTCCCTTAGAAACAGGGAAAAAATAAGGAAGGTAAAACTTTGAAGGCATGATCTGCTCCTGTCAAGTAAACCTATGAGAACTTATTTACACTTTGCAAAACACCTACACCCAAAGAATTTCATTAAAAAAAGGAACAAGCTAAAGAAAAAACAAAAGACTATTGTTACTGAACTCAAAGCAACCAGGCACAAGACTTACTTTCCAAAAAAACTACATACACAGAAGTTGCAGCTCAACACGCAAAACAAAGCAAAACATTGCAAACCCCCCCCCC